CTCTTGTAGTTACTTGTATTTTATATTTAATCTTAACATAATTCAAAGATAAAGTAAGTAGCATGAGTTAGGACTATCTGACTACAGCTCCTTATATAGTTGGACCAGTGGTTGAAAAAACTATGTGGAAATATAGTGTTTCTACATAAGACAGGAGATTACAATCTAGTAACCATTACAACTGCTGGTGGGCCAAATCTAATGGCTTGGTCGGCCAATTTTGGCCCACGGGCCCCACTTTGGGCACCCCTGCTCTAAACTAAATCTCTGGACCCAGCTGTGTTTGACTCACAGACCAGTCACTGCTTCATCACTTCCTCTCTGTGCCTCGTGACATCGAACCGTCTGCAGATTAAATTTAAGATTCCCACAAATTTAATTTATGTGGCTCTAAGCATTGAAGTCATAAAATTATTTTTTATTTCATTAAGTTTAATCGCAGTTCTAAACGTTTTTAAAGTTTTTCTTCACTTTTTTTCTCTTCATCATCTCTCCTATAGCTCAGRTCACAATWATKGGCAAACATCCAACTAYRCAAATTAGGTGATGACGTCATCTAGCGACTTCTAGGACAGCCAATAGRGACTTTACTTGCTCAGGAGTTGGCAACGCTGACCGCTGGTAATCCTCAAGGTTTGAGTCCTGAAACARTAACAAGAAGCATGGTTTAACCCTGCAGAGACTGGAGACGTTGGGGGACCCCTTACAAGGGCGAAAAAAATTCCAGGGACCCCCTCATAAACCCCCTGCTGTTTTAAAAGATAATTTACTGTCATTTAAACCCCTAAATGTCATGGGAATATATATTTTTAYTAAGTTTATTATGTTTATTTGTTTAGTTCATTGTTCTCCATGCATTTTTAAAAATCAAAACCAAATTAACAATTTAGTAAAAAATTTTTGAGGACCCCCAAGATACCTCTCGCGGACCCCAGTTTGAGATCCTCTGCATTACAGGACGAAACGTTTAGAAAAGTCTGAGGTGTGGAGCCTGTAAACAACAACAAAAACAAGCACCCTTCTGCTCCATTACATCCTGAAAAATATATCAATTATCTGCTGTTTTTTCTTCTCCATGTTTAAATTCTGAATCAAAGACAAATTAAGAAAAGTGGTGCTGGGGGGTCTTTGAGTCCACAACAAGACCTGGATGTCGTCTTTAGCAACGTGTGCCTCTTTACAAATATGTTTTTGTGACATTTTTTACCACTTTTTTTTCCATGTTTTGCCAAATGAGCCTGAAAAAGATCGTTGTGTTTATTTGTTCTCAGCCGCCCCTACATGGCAGCTCCGCCCCCTCACCAAGCCCCACCCGTCCACATACCATCCATGGTAGGTGGACCCCCGCCAGACATGAGGGGACCCCCAATGGGTGAGCCACGAACCATGATGGTGGATCCACGAGGACCACCGATGATGGAGCCTCGGGGGCCGCCGATGGAAGCCCGAGGTCAGATGTTGTTAATAATGTCRTCTCGTTAAAGGGATCCCCGATTAGTTGTAACATTAGACTTTATTTAATAAACATATATTTTAACTGTAAAATAAAAACTCTAAAAATACTGTAGGATGTTCCATTTTTATAATTTTTAAACTAAGTTTAAAAATATATTACATGGACGGAGCCATTTTATTTACATGCAAAGCATTCTAGGTAAATGATGACATCAATTAGGTCATCAGTGTGAGGCTGCTAGCGAGCTATATCCACCCTGAAGGTTAATCTTGGACAATATCTGATGATCGACTCTTTTAAATGAAACCAGAGAGCGTTGACAGAGAGGAGAAGGTAGAAATGACTCAGCCTGGAACTGAAAATATGGATGGAGGACAACAGAGCTGCTTCATGGAAGAAGAACCTCAGCTTAGCCTGTTAGCTTTAGCGTTAGCCCCGACGCTATCACCATATATACTGTATGCATTAGCTCAGCGCTACACATTCTCCTCTCATCACTGAGGTCCTCCGTCCACATGACAGAGAGGGAAACACAAAAATGACTCAGCCTGTAACTGAAAATATGGATGGAGGACCTCAGTTTAGCTTGTTTGTCGTGCTAGCGCCGAGCTAATACATATAAGGCAATATAGCATCAGCGCTAGCGCAAAGGCTAACAGGCTAAGCTGAGGTTCTTCTTCCATGAAGCAGCTCTGTTGTCCTCCATCCATATTTTCAGTTCCAGGCTGAGTCATTTCTACCTTCTCCTCTCTGTCAACGCTCTCTGGTTTCATTTAAAAAGAGCCGATCATCAGATATTGTCCAAGATTAACCTTCATGGTGGATATAGCTCACTCACACCGAGGACCTATCCACGTCATCATTTACCCAGAATGCTTTGTGTGTAAATAAAATGGCTCCGTCCGTGTTAAAATATATTTTTAAAAATTTACAAAACTAAACAGCCTACAGTATTTTTACAGCCTTTATTTTACAGTTAAAATGTTTATCAAATAAAGTTTAATGTTACAACTAATCGTGGATCCCTTTTAAGAAACTGTGTCGTAACAGAGACCCGTTTCCTGTTTTCCAGGCCGCGATCCGAGGGCCATGGATGCTCGCGGTCCAGTGACGGGTCAGAGGCTCRCCATGGTGCCAGGAATGCAAGTTCCTGTTCCTCACATGGGTCCAAACGCTCCTCCACCCGTCAGACCGGTAACACCTGGCGGCTTCTTGGTTTTTATWTTTTAATTCACTCGTTCTGCCGACGGCAAATGGTGAAAAAATAATTTACTGTAAAAAATAAAAATAGAATTTGCCAGAAAAATTATGAAAGATCTGTGAGATTTTGGTGAAACAAAAGAGAAGACCCAGCTCACTSTACCGGTTTAAACAGCTCATAACTTTAATTTAACTTTTAGCTGTTACTTTAATTTTCGCTTCTCTTCACTGTTTTCATGTAGCTCGTGCATCAAAATATTGTAATGTTTTAGGAGATTATCACAAAGTTCTGTTTGTCCTGCAGGGTCCTGGTCCTGGGATGTCCGGCGTCCCCCCATCAGGAGGTGGTTTCAGTCCAGGACAGAGTCAGGTGTCCACACAAGACCAGGAGAAGGTAGAGTCTCTCTGGATCTGTCTTCTGTAGCTGTTTTATTTTTTTTTGTACTTTATTTAATTTTTTTAATCTCTTGTTTCTGCTCAGGCGGCCCTGATCATGCAGGTCCTCCAGCTGACCCCAGAACAGATCGCCATGCTGCCCCCAGAGCAGCGGCAGAGCATCCTCATCCTCAAAGAGCAGATCCAGAAAACTGCCAGCGGCGCTCCTTGAGTCGGACTGAGGTGACGCTTCTGTCCACGGTCAGGATTTGTTCTGCTCTGATCTAATCATTTTAAATGTTTTTATTGTTTTCCCATCAGGTCACAAGTCCCCCTGATCCACCTGCCTGAGCAGACCTGAAGGCATCTAATCCTAATCTGGATTATTGTTTATATACTTTGTAATAAAACATTAAAGTTAGTTTGTTTAAGAGGATTGTGCTCTGAAACAGTCATAGTCTGAATCTTTTTTCTTTTTAGTGTCGTATAAAATCTGTCATTAAAACTTTCTTTAAACACTTCAGGCTACAAGATAATCTGTAATCCCTCACATTCTTAAAGATGTTTARCCACAGTTTAAGTAACTATTTCCTTGTTTACCTTCAGTTCTGATAAGGAAAGTGACTGAATTAAGGAAATGAAGGTAACCAACAACAGGTCATTGTTTGGTTCCAGGWAAGTGTTGACATCAGTGAACATGACAGACGTTTAATTCAGACAGATCATTACTTTTATTTAAAATATTTACAGCTTTTAATCACAATCAGTAGAACTGGTTCAAAATGTATAAAGTAAAATACAAAATATTAATTGTAAGTATTTTATACTTACAATGATCCTAAAATAAGTGCAAACAGTTACAAATAAAAGGTGTTTAGTAGATTTTTAATCTGTAATTTAGCTTTAAATGATAAAAACCAAACAATCTGATGCTGACTTACTGTCAGCAGCTGTGATTCAGTGTAACAATAAGTCGAACCCTGAGTGGAKCTCATGCCTGCAGTGTGAACTGAACACACCTGTCGGATAACGCGGGTTGGTTTTACGGTTGACAGTCTTCAGTTAATCTGTAGTGAGAAATTCCTCAAAAGATGATTTCCTCCTGGGCCCTCGCTCCTTCCCACATCCTGGTGTTTGTTTTTTTTTTGTTTTGTTTTTTATGGTTTTTTTCTTCAGAAGTTCTCCTTGTTGAAGTAAAACTTGGTCTTGCGAGGATCCACGTCTGAATATTTGGCGCATTTCTTCTCCAGAACCRTCCCGAGAGCCGCAGGTCCGCACAGGAACGTTCCCACCGTGGAGCTGGAGAGACGGACAAAACAAAGACGGATTTTTATTTAAAGGGTTCAAAGTTTTAACTTTATATTTTACTGTAGAAAAAAAAGTCTGTCAACATTGACTGTGTGATGTGCATTTTGTTAGGCAAATAAATGCTACAGAAGTAAAAAAAAAATTAAAATATATATTTCTTATAAAAAATGCTTCGTGGCACTAAATGATGCCATATTTTTTGGTTGAGACAAGTGTGTGGAAAAGCTTGAATAAATAAAATATATTCATATTTAACAAACAGTATCATGTGGAAGAACCATACACAGCTACAATAGCCACTGAGAAATTCTGGTTGAGGTGGTGCCGGACTGTATATGGTTCTTCCACGTGCTACCAAAGCTATTTATCAATCATCCCATTCCATAAACGACACCAAACAAGAGTCTAGAGCAGAGTGAGCTTTCCGGAGTTGCCAGAGGAGATAAATTAAATACACCTATTGTTAAAATACACCTGTCCAGTGTAAGTACATTCTATGTATGAATTCAAAGTATTTTTTGGTGATTCTTAAGGTTTTTACTCCACTTCTCAATCCATTTTCTCATATTTGTGTTTTTATGAGAAGTTTAAAAGTAAACATATTACGTGGGATTCTCTTTGCGGACTTGCTCAAACTCCTTGTCCCAGTTGGGTCGGCCGTAGTGAGTTTTCTGTTTGAGCCCAGTGACCACGTCGGTGTCCTCGTCAAAGTGAACCATCACGTGATTGGCCTGTGAGAATTACAGGGAAAAACACAATGAGTTTAAGGAGCAAACGAGCGCCAAGTTCATCTGGACTTTGGTTTCACTCGTACGTGACTCTCGTCCCATCCGGTCAGAAACAGCTTGTAGGTGAGGAAATCTCCCAGGCCTCTCGCCTCCATCTCCTTCTCCTGCACCTGCAGCAGGTCGGCAAACCACTCGAAGGCGTGCGTTTCCCGGCAGAGCCAATAAAAATAAATCTGAAACCAGACACGGGCAAGTTAAACAATAAYCCTTTGACAAGCTGCTGATGACTCACCTCTTCACCTGGGTGTATTCTTAAACAATGATAATTATTCTTTGATGCATTTCCTCACACACACAGTATTCAAATGTTGAAATCTGCGAACGTGATAAATGTCACCTTTCTGGTGCGCAGCTTGGGGTTGTTGTCTTTGAACTTGTACCAGATGGACTTGAGGATGGAGGCGAAGGGAGTGACGCCGATGCCGGCGCCGACCAGCATGCTGACCTCGTAGTCGAAGACGTCCTCGCTGGCTGTCCCAAACGGACCATCAACACCCATTCTGACAGCAAGAAGACATTTGTTCAAATACTGCAGAAAAACAAACTTCCACTGAAGAAAATACAATTTTGCAGGTTGAAATAATGGTTTATATGCTAGAAACGTAAAAAGTAAAGCATATATTTATATTCACAGTAAAACAGGTTTTTGGCTGATTTTTGTCACTAAATYGGACCTGAATCTTCAATATATTCTATTATTGTCTTTGGTGGTGTACCACAAGGCTCCATATTTAGCCCACTTGATGTTCAAATCAAGGAATGCTCATCGACAACTTTCATGTCGAATTTAAATGATCATTTTTCCAGTTGATTCAAAATAACCCAACWTTAAAAAAATGTTTGATGGGAATATTATGATTTAGAAGTCTATTGATTCTGTTCCCCCAGTTCGTCAGTCGTTTCTATAAACTAATTTTCTACTCGATAATAAAATTCAAGGAGCTTACTTGGGTCCCTGTGCTCCCTCCGGTAGCTTCTGCATGACCTCGATGAGTTTGTCCGTCCAGTCTCCAGCAGAGCGGATGTGGACGCTGAAGAAGTCCTCCTCGGGCGCAGAGGTCATGGTGAATGGGTGCCACTCAAGCTGCGAGATGGACGGACAGTTGAGGAAGACGTACTGACCCACCTCCATCTTGAAACCCTTCTTCACCAGCTGCAGCTCCAGCACTTTGGACGGTCGCATCACAATCTGAAGACAGAAATGCCACAATGAGGTCAGATGCAAACAATTCATCAGAATAAAAAGGAAAAAAAGGTAGAGAAATTGCATTTAAGTGTTGCAGTAAATGTAAGTGCTCAACAAATTTCCTGAAATTTACTGATGAAGCTAAAATTGAGTTAAAATTAAAACCAAACGGATAAATTCTAAAAGGTGCTGAATGCTGGCAAAAAATCTAAAAAAGGAAAAAAAAGTTGGCTAAAAGATAAAAGCTTTTGAAAAGTATCAATGTTACCAGAACCAAAATATCCTGATTGAGTTCAGTGTTTTCACACATGAACAGTTCAAACAGCTCAGGAATATTTCCATATAAAACATATAGAAGAAAAGAGAGTAAAGGGAAACTGGATCATTATACTGTGAATTTTGAATATCTTACCTTCCTGTACTGGACTTTCTGTGCATATCGAATCAAACGAAGCAAACGCTCAACAGCATAAATAATCATGGGGCCGAGGACCCAATACCAAGTCTGAAAAATAAGAATCATAATCATAATGCTCATTTCTTTGTAAGAGTTGCAGAAAAAAAATAAAGTAACAGAAAACTACAAACCGCAGCAGGTCCTCCAACGAACTGAGGGTAGGGACACTCGTCCTCACCCCACTCTTCGGTGAGATTGTGACACAAAGTGAAGTTGTGTTGCGATAGATTGCTCTGCCTCCTCACGATGCCTCTGAGGATGAGATGAAAGCTTGAACCCACCTCCAAAAACAACAACAACCACAGAGTTTCATCAAAAAAAAAAACAACAGGTAAGAACAGTCACGTACCCGAGTCCATGAATAACCAGACCGGCAAAGAAGATGACGAAGAGGTGATGCGTGTACCAGAAGACCTCGAAGTAGCTGCGTCTGATGACCTCCATGGAGGAGGTGATGATGAGGATTAGAGCCAGGGTGATGATGACACCWGTCAGTCCAGCGATGGACGTGAAGGCAAAGTAGGTGGGGATCTGCTGCGGGTTCTGAGACAAAGAACAGACATTTTCTTCACACTTTGGTCTGAAATTAAAGTGATCAAAAACTTCTGCAACAAAAAACATTTTTTTAAATGACTCTGAAGTGACGTCAGCACAGTCTAGCTGCCATGTTGAAAGACAGAACAAACAGATTAAAAATTGTGGTTGGACTTAGTGCCATCTAGCCAAAAAATATGTTCCTCATTTTACCTTTTCAATTCAACTTCATTTAAACCAAAAAAAATAAAGCTTAATGCTGAGAGATTTTTGCAGAAAAAAAGATATTGTGTATAAAAATGTAGCTATTTATCGTAAAATAGCCAACAAAGCTGAAATTAGCACAAAAGAAGATAAAACGTAGCTGGAAAAGTTGAATCTAGAACAAGAAAGCAGAAAAAAACGTTTGCTGAATTAAGCAGTAAGTAGCTAAAACTATCACAAGAAGGTGGATTTAGCTATAAAAGCTAAAATTAGCTGAAAGTAGCTTAAATTGTAGAAGACTGCTGAAAAAAAAAACAAACAAGCTTAAATTAACGGAAGAAGCACACAAAATAATGAATTCGCAGAATAGCTGAAAAGAACCAAAAAAAAGCTGAAAAGACAAAAAAAAGCTAATATCAGGAAAAAGAMGCAGCTGGAAAAAAAAGCTAAAACAAGCACAAAGAAGGTAAAAAAGCTGACCCAGAACAAAAAGTGGAAAGCGCAAGAAAAGCTCAACTGTTCTGAAGGATTTTAAGCATTCTGACGACGTGTCCAAAACTTTGGAAAAGCACAAAAATTGTGGAATAAGATACGAGCAGAAAAATGAATAAAACCAGTTCATCTCAATTCACACATGACGGTTTCAGCTCCTGACTCACGAGGTGGGTCGTCCGGATCGGGTTCAGGTAGGTGGTGTTTTCCGTGTCCTCCAGGGCGGACAGAGCGCTGCTGAGTTCATCGTAAACACCCTGTCTGCTGTTGTTGTACCACTCCACGTTCAGCAGGTGAGCCACCGTGTGAACAGCTGTCAGAAAACCCAGCAGAGGAGCATTAAACTACGAAATTATGTCTTTTTTTCCCCACAGTTTATCTGGTTTGATGGCTTTATCGTGACGAGCCCAGGCGTGTTTCCGTGTCAACATTTGATGAAAACKCTTGATAATTTGCGTTTATTTGTAACCTCGATAAAATTCAGGTCAGACACGCTTGCGTGGTGCGGAGAGAGAAGTATGCGCCAGTGTGAGCCGCTCGTCAGGATAAACAAGAAGAACTATTCAGCTCACCACAAATAAACAACTGCTGAATCTAAATCATCTCCTCCACTCCTCAGAGAATTTACACATCCACGGACGATTTAAAAGAAATGATTGCAGGAATTTCATGAATGCAGTTTGTAGAGATTGTCTGCCTTGCAAAGAGGTAAATGTCTGTGAAAACAATAAAGCTTAGAAACGAAGATTTGCACCAAAATGATGGTTAAAGATGAAAAATCAGTGTAAAAACAAAAGTGTTGAAACTTTAACTTGATCCAAGATATCACCACATTTTGAAACAAATTATCTAAATTTATATTTTAGTCATTTAAAATGAAATCACTACCTCTTCTTTAATTCTTCAGTTTTAGTTTTAAAAATGTGATGAAATTGTGACATGTAGAACGATTTGAACTCAAATAGCTCCAAAACTTTCAGTAAGATCGTGTTCACATTTTATCGACCACATCATTTTTGTGTTTTGCTCTTCACACACTGGATTAAAGACCTGAAATCATACAGGCCTCATCATCATCATCATCATCATCATCAMYACAAGGATTGGATATAAAACCATCAGTTCAGCTCACCCGTCATAAGGGCGATCATGTACGCCACCAGCTTGTGGAAAGTCAAGTTTTTGTCCATTTGTTTCCTCATTATTCTGCTGCAACACTGTGAAGATAAAGAAGTGAGATGTGAAATCTGTCAAAACATCGTTTTTGTTTTTTTTCCCCCCAACCCAAAAAGTTGCCCAACTTTTGTCCATTGTTGTACTTTTGATGCAGGTGGTGTGATGCAACCTTCCTGCTACCGTTGGGTCAAAGTGAACACTGAGACCTCTCGAGTCATTTTGGTGCAACAGCAGCAGGAGGGTTAATTAGAAGAAAATTAGTGGTGAAAATTCAAAAGTGGGACTTTTCTAATGACAAACACTGGAAACTTGTTTGAAATTCATGGGTTTGTTTCCAAAAGGAGTAAAACTAAGAAGAGAGTGACAGTTGGCTGGAAACACATTTAAATAAACGTATTGAGCTGCTGGAAAGATAAAACCTTTACAGAACAATCATTTCAGAGCTCCTCGCCCTGCTGTGACAGAGAATCATCTTCGTACCATGAGGGAGCCTCGGATCAGAGACAGCAGGTTTCTGCAGACGGGCAGGAGGATCAACATGCAGTTAAAGTTCAGCACGGCTGCAGGAGCTCTGGCCCAGGGCAGCGCCGACTGAAAGCACAAAAATACACCAGGTATATGAGCAGGAACTGGAACTGTAATTTTTTTATTACTTTTTACTGACTTTAAGATTACAGTACAAAATCAATGCTTCTTAAATCATTTTTGTCTTGTTTCTACAATAAGTAAATAGTTTTTATTGACTGGTTACTGGTAATTCACATATCTGACCCAGGGTTGATCAGTCAGTTAAAACCAAAGAAAGTTAAAGATTTACAAGTAGAAGGAATCATTTATATGTTAGAATCATGTAAAGAGTAAAACATACGTGTTTATTTGCACAGTAAAACAGGTTTTTATCACTAAATCTGACCTCAATCGACAATATTTTCTGTTGTCTTTGATGGTGCACCACAWGGCTCCATGTTTAGCCCACTTCAAGTTTCAATCAAGAACCTGCCATTTTTACACCAGGAAACTATGAAATCAGACATTGTAGCCTACATTTTTATTACTCTTTACTGGCTTTAAGATCACAGTATAAAAAAGTTTCCAAAATTATTTTTGTCTTGTTTTTGCAATAAGGAAGCAGCTTTTATTGACTGCTACTGGCTAATAAGTCATATATCTGAAGCAGKGTTGATCAGTTAAAACTGTGGTGATGGTGCACCATAAGGCACCATTTTAAGCTCATTTCATGCTTAAATTAAGAACCTTCCATTTTTACACCAGGAAACTATAAAATCAGGTATGATAACATTGAAAAATATTTAAAATGTGCAACAAAAAGTTGTATTACTGTACATGAATGATAATATAAAAAATACCATTCATTATTAGAAGCCTTTTTTGCGCAAGAGTGTTGCAGTATTTAAAATGCATTTGAGTTGTTTTTTTCTCTCTCCACGCATAACTGTACAGAAAAATGCTTTGATCCAGGTGTTTTTCTTTACTCACCCCCAACAGGTGACGTGTGTAGAAAAACTCRGGTCTCAAATCGTAGTAAAAGTAATACCAGACAAACAGAAAGATGTTGATGGCCATCCAAACGCACTGAAAATATGTTAAAAAAATCCACCATTTCCATTACATTTTTCACACACAAGCATTAATTTGTAAGATGTGGAGATAAAAAGGAAACTCACGATGATGACAGCAGAGAAGCCGTTGTTGATAACGCAGTTCGCCATGATGAGTCTCCTCTAGACGTTCTGAAGCTTCTCCGAGCGTTCAGCTGGTTTTATAGCTTTGTCTCGAACTCCTCCCTCTTTTATAGGCATCAGTGAAAAACAAATCCTAGAGAAAGGTTAAATCACACTGTACAGGAAGTTCCAACGAGGCCTGAATGACCACATTCTTTTTAATCAGCTTTGAGATGAAGGAATGAGGAAGTCGGAGTTGCTTCATCCAGGAACTTCTGATAGATTAACCTGTTAATAATACAGGTGATGCAACATTTTACTGGGTTAAAAAATACAAATACAGTAGGTCAGTGTTTTTTAACTTTATTCAAGATTCAAGTAATCCAATAGTCAAGGCACTGTTAACCAAACTGAACATAAAAAATTATATTAAAGCACATCAGCAAAGTTAGTGTCAGTYGTCTCAAATATTAAGATTAATCCTGAAGGCAAACTCAGATAATCTGAAATCCTTTCTCAGACAGAACAGCCTCTCCGTCTCCTCGTATTTTATTTTTGTTCTTTCGCAACATCAAACATTTCCCCTCATTAAAGGCAAGTGGACAGTAAACAATAAAAGGCATCAGGAAAAGAAAGCAAATCTGTCATTTTGTTTAGTTTTGCCTTTTCCAGCAGAGATTTCTTTTTGTCTTTAAAGGTTGAGTAGTTCAGACGCAAACATGTAAAAGCCCTGAGAGGAGGTGAGGAGGAGGGAGAGTCCCGCACGCTTCAGACACAGTTGGCACATTCTTCTCCTACACCTGGCTCAGGTGCTGCTCTCTGAACAGACACCTTTGTGCAGCGCTGCGTGTCTCAAAGCGTTACATTCTTTGGGTTAAGCCCGTGGTGGCTCCTCTGCGTTTGTAAGAATCATCGACGAAGACGCCAGGAGCTGAAAAAAATGAGATGTTTTGTTCACTTCACTTTGTTCTCTAAAACACACCTTTGTAGCTTCAAACACAATTTATGCATCGACGTTTCAGCGCAACATCTTTAACAGTCTGTCTCTTGTTCCGCCGGCTGACTGCTGGCAGGGTGGGAGTTCTGGGGGTCCAGCAGGTGCACGGGCTCCTCCGACGTCAGAACCATGGTGGCGGCCGTGGAGTAAGACGGCGGCAGGTCGACCCGCCCGCTCCCCGCCGCGCGCCCCTCCCGGCGGCAGCAGACGCAGCGCAGGCAGTCGTGGACGTTGTAGGTGAAGAGGCGCCTGCAGGGGTGGCAGAACTGGTAGAAGAGCAGCATGAAGAGCACGGCCAGGCTGTAGCACACCAGCAGCTGCACCACCAGCAGCGGGGCGCACACGTACACGTAGAAGTCCGACTTGTAGAAGTACCACAGCGTGATGAGCAGGAAGTTCTCCACGAAGCGCGCAGAGTAGTACGTGGCCAGGCCACTCCAGCTCTGCTTCCTCTCGATGAGCTCGCGGTGGGCCAGGTCCAGCTGYACCGCCGACCAGCAGAACACGTTGATGCAGGCGTACAGCAGCGTGAACAGGCTCAGCACCACCGCCGTGCCCAGCTTAGAGAAGTTCTTCTCCACGTCGGCGTCCAACGAGCCCCCCTTCACCCAGAACTTCACCCAGGGGATGAAGAAGAAGAGGAGAAGGTTGACCCCRCCCACCAGGACCACCCAGTAAGTCAGCGCCGTGCTGAACAGGACCAGGGCCGTGATCCGGGTGGCGATCTCCAGGCCTCGCCACGCGATCATGCACAGGTAGGCCGCRGGGCGCAGGCGCACCTTGTAGTCGTCGTATTTGATCTGGATGGCCAGAACGTTGCAGACGAGCGCGCCGTACACGATGGAGATGAGGGTGATGATCATCAGAGGCACTGCAAACACAAACAGAATGAATGGACGATCAACACCCGCCGCCAAAAGGCCAAGGCAAATAATCAGTATCTAACCTGCTTATGTTTCTTTAAAACTAGTCATGATCTCATTTTTCATGAAAACTACAAACAATGACTATAATTTATTAAAATATATCCTTAGCACAAAAAATAAGGACATTTGTGTTTGGGAGATTATTTCTTTGTTTTAACAACGCTTACTGGCAATAAATCTTATGATTGACACTTATTCAAAACAAGTATTAACAGCAACAAAATAAGCTGTTGGTTTCAGCACATTTTTCATGTTCACAAACCAAATTAGGGCTGCACAGTATTAGAAAAACCTGCGATGTGTGATATTGGTGCTTAATATTGCGATGATGACATGATTTGCGATAAATGAACAAATACCAAATACATAATTATGTAGTTTTTATGTCTTTCTGCTCTGGATTCGGAGCACAAAAAAAAACATTAAAAAATCTTTTTCATTCCAAAATGATTTTTTTTTTTTTAATTGGCCAAATACATTAAGGGCTCTATTTGATTGGTGAAATACTTCAAACTTACGTCTGAGTGACAAAACTCGAAAATGCAAACTTTGGAGCCAACCATTTATTGAAGTTTATGCAGTTGTTGCAACATGCATATTTTTTTCTTTTTTTTTTTTCTCTATTTTTTTGGATGCGATATGCATATTGCACAGGCGGTTATCTCAGTGACGATGAATTTTCGATATATTGTGCAGCCCTAACCCAAATACTCAGCTCTACTGCTCATCCCACAAATGCATGTTCCTTACAAATGTGGCACCATTTAAAAGAGAAATTAACAGGCTTTAAGACAGTATAAGATCTATTGCCAAGAAGCATTGTTACAAGAAAGAAATAATATAACAAACACTAATTTTCTTACTTTTTGTGCTAAATATAGATTGAAAAGTACGTGATATATTTTTTGTCAATCCTACATGCTGGTTGATGATATTGTTCTTTTCTGTTGACTATTTAAAAATATTTCCTACTCAGGACATAATTCTTCCTCTGCTGCCACCTTAAGGACAGATTTTTAATTTGTTGCTGTGTTGTTTTATTTTTACTCTGACTGAAGCGTGTTAGAGCATGTTAGCGGGTTAGCCTGATGATGCTAACTTTCTGAATAACCTCCTGGAATCAWTCGCTCCATGCAGATAAATCACAGATTAAGTCACTTGGCCACTGTTGATACAAACATGTTTGGACTAACAACATCTTGCTACATAAACAAATATTTTACAAAGTGTGAAGCACGGTGGTGGAGGTATTATGGTTTTGAGCAGCCTGATAAATTCTGAATCATGTTAGTGTTTGAAGACAAACAAAGGTATTTTTCTAGAAAAAAAACCCCAAGAGAACGAGGGTTCGTAAGAAGAAACTGAGAATCTAGAACTTTGGAAAAGCTTAAATTAGAATTAATTGAAACGTTAGAGGCTCTAACACATCCACTTTCAACAGCTTATTAACAAACAAAACATGAATTTAAAAAGTCAGCTGATGTTCGCAACTGTTGAACATTTTGGCAAACTGTTGTTTTCAAAAACTAAAATAATCCCAGCTCAGATTACAACATGCGTGTGCTACTGACGTGTTTATGACCGGCGGTCATGTTTAGACCACTCCTGAGTTCTGATGCAAATTAAGGACTAATTACTCAGACCTGCTGAACCTGATTAACATGTTTACTCCAACACACAGTTACTGCTGTTTGCTTTGTGGAGCAGTTAGAGCAGCTCGAGGGCCACAATCCTGCAAGTTTTATGTAAAACATGCAGGACGGAGGCCCTCAGGACCAGGATTGGACACTGCTGGGTTGGAGGGAGTGGAGTTTTAGCTAGCCTGGAGCACACAGCACTGGAATGGCGAATCTGAGCCAACGAGGAGAATAACCTGTGTTCTTACAACTTATGAGTTCCAGTTAAAAGTCTCGTGAACTTTGACCTTTTCCTAAATAACTGTTGACCTGCCTGCAGCGGAAAAATAAATCCCTCAAACATCAGAACAGTGTGGATGTTTCTTACGTCTCCCTTCGGTGTTGGCTTTCTCCTGGATGGTGGCGTACAGCTGCAGCGTCAGCTGAGGCGTGGAGCCCAGGAAYGCCTGAATGACGGCGGTGCGTTTGAAGGCGTTCCTGTGCGTCGCCAGCGTGCGCTCCGTCTGGCCGATCTCTAGCTCCATGGGAATCTGCTGGCCCTTCTTCAGGCTGATCTTCCTGGACAGCGTGACGTAGGGCTCCTCCTTCTTACCCGCCTTGAAATACACCCACAGGGCCTCGAAACACCTGAGGAAAGGAYAAGAACAGGTGGGAAGAGCGGCGTTACAGCATCTGATCCAAGCAGAAACCAAGAGTTTTGTTTTGGAATTGAACTTTTCTGAAATTGTACAAAAAGCTGGCATCATGTTGGCAAACGGGGTCCATGAGGGCATCTCCAGAACGTCTTGTGACGTTTGTGGAGGTTCTTTTCTTCGCTTTAGCCATTGTGTTGCACAGTCCTGTTGCTTGAATTTTAAATACATTCAAAAAAGAAATCTCTGAGAATCATCAGAGGTGTCTCGGACCCTTTCTGATTTTGTCTTCAACGCATTTAAAGATGTTCATTTTGACACCTGCAGGGCGCTCTGCTCCGACAGAAAACACGTTCAGAAGGGTTTCCCGGTCAATGTATCTTTTGGTCATTGGATTTTCATTTTTGAAACGGGTATTAAAAAAACAAGAAATGAGCGGATATTTGATTTTTGTTTTAAAATACTGAAATAAAAATTTAAATATAAAGCGTTTCTCATTCTTAGTGTCAAAAAGGGATGAATGAAATTTAAAAAATGATTTGAGTTCAATTTTCTGTTTCAGATAGC